TTAGCGGAGCTGCAAGGTTACTCATCAAATCATGTTAGGCTGTCTGTCTGTGTTTTTATGTGCACCGGAGAGAGGAGCCATAACTCTGCTGGACGGTCGTGATCTTTTGCCCCCAATGTGCACACCAACAGAGGGAAACCAGTCTATTATGAGGTCACGTGTTACTGAAGTGGCTAGAATTTAGGCTAAGACTAAATTAAACAAGAAGCAATGGTTTAGAAAGGGTAAGAGCATTTATTTAGGTTTACGCCTCACATACAATGGAGCTTTTCTCTATCAGATTAGAGTTAAAAAATAATGTCCACACGGCTCTTTTTCCTAAAGAAATCCACAGAGAAATGCAAAATACAACAAAAACCTCAGTGAAAGTCAAATCTCTGCAAAGTACAGCAGGCATATAGGCACCTTATGGTTTTTATAAAGCACCTAATGGACATTATTTAAATGCAGTGATAATTCCTGATAAACACAACAATTGGACTGGAATGTATATACATCTAATTTGAGAAAATAACATGTTAGCCCAGGTTTTGTGTTGCTATCAGTGCTAAGAGCCCATAAGTGCCACTAAAGTCTGATTTACCAGCATGTTAGAGTGTTTTATGACCTGTGTAGAGCCTGAAAGGTGATGAGGAAGATCAGGGATTAGATTCTTTCTCTCCCATTAAAAGTTCAGACGAATCAACTGTTCAAGGAAAACAGAAAAAAAACAGAAATCCTGTAGCAGTTTTTGACCCTGACAGCAGTTTCCTTTGGTTTTAACCAGCTTCTCTGCAGGTTTTAAATCTGCAAAAATCATAAAATTGAAGAAAATCAGATCCAGCCGGCCCGTGGAAACAACCCGGCCGTTCCACCAAGACGACAGGAAACACACTATCTTCAAAAAACACACACTTCCTGCTAAGTTTCCCGCTTCCTGTGCGGTAGGGAAAGGGAGGGGTGGCCGCTGATGTCATGGGGAGGCTCCCTCCATGGGAGCTGCCTGCTGGTAACTAGCTAGTCGCTCAAATTCTGCCAAAGTTTTACGAGAAGGGCACCAACCATCCAGTGGGAAAAAAGCAAAAAAAAGATAATTACAATGTTTTTTTGTGGTGAAACATTTTGCTTTAGCCAAAAGGGGCATTTTAAATACACAGGAAGCCTCTATGACTTCCAATAAAGGGCTTCATCATCTAACATCCTAATGTTTTGTGTTTCCCTTAAAAGGAGAAAAAGCAACAATGAGTTTCTGCTGCTTGTTACCGTTTGGGAGGAAGTTTCCTCTGCTGTTACAGTCAGAGTTTATTAGTCTTTTCAGCTTAGTGAGCAACAATGAGCACACGGGCTTCTGTTCTTCGATGAAAAGGGAATTTTTAATCGTGTCGCTTTCCAATCGGAGCTGCATTCCTGCTTTTTTTCCCGTGCATTTCACCTCCTGTTGATGGAATTGCTCGACCTTTTCTAACGGTTGCTGTTATCCAGTGTCAATTAAAGTCGTGTGCAATAAAACTAAAGAATATAGCTCCAAAATGACAGCCGGAACACGAACATCAATTCAGCAAAAAGACAAAAACAATTAAAAAAATACATTCAAAAGCAGCATTTAATCTACACGCAACAGAATATGAAGGAAAAAAGGAAAACCTCTAAGGTTAATCTGAGCATTTTCCTGTATTTTAAAGCTCCTAGAGGATCCTGAGAGCAAAGCTATCCAAAAACGCTGGTGATTCAGGGAGAAGTGGGGACTATATTCCTTCAAATCAGCACTGGGGACCAACAGAGCAGCTTTAAGACGGTCCTACCTCCACCTCTCGCACACAAACACACACACAGCTGTGTCTCAACAACAAACAGTTCCTGACACAACCTGATTTACATGAATTAACACCCATGAGGAAGACGGCACTCGTACTGGATGTTACCTCAACACTAAACAGTTTCAAACTGTTTGACTGAGGCTGATATTTGCATATGAAACATCTGATGCACCTCGCTGACACTATAATGAATAATTACACATTTAAAGAGCGCTACCTGTTACTAAAAATGGCTGTCACGTCCATGCAACCAACCGTTTGTTGGCTACGTGTAAAAGGCCAGAGAACCCCGTTAAAAAACAAAAATCCTGTGTAAATGTGCATAATCTGCCTTTCTTATGTCTTGCTCCAAACTCAATGAGAGCTCCTCCTTTATAATCTTCCGTTGTCGTTTTAAAAATTGGCCTGTAACAGCGTTTTTTCCAGCTTTGGGACATGTGGCTGACAGGGAAAGCAGACCTGATCGTACTGAAATTGGAACCATTTGCGATGATTTTAAAACTTGTGTTTCAGTCCCACCCTTCGGTTTGTGAAACATCACTCCGTGTTTGCTGGGCGTGATTCTGTCGTATTATCTTGTCAACAATGTTTTCCTTCTGTGCAGCTTTCAGTGCACGTCAGCTCCCGGGCATCAGCATCCAGACTCCAGCTACTCAGTCTGATTCAGTCACATTTAAATACACTATGGGATACACAGCTGAGCCAAAAGAATGCCAAGCTGGTGCTTCTATCCATCCATCTATCCGACATTTAACAGTCTGAAGAAAACGCTGACTGTCATATTTCCTAAACCTAAAAAGGATCTAAAAACCTGCACAATATGTCTGATGAAGAGCCCCCCAGTTCTAATCCATCAACTCTTAATCATGGATACTTCTTAGAATATATCCCGATAAAAAAAAAATCATTATTTTATGTGGGTTTTTTTTAAACAAAACTCATTTTGTTTGTTCCAAATATTGGACGTTTTGCAATCATTACATTCCTATAGTTCTGATAGAAAGAAAAACTCACTACAGTCAAAAGATATACTTTAGATATGACTATCACACCATTTTAGCTCAATAACGAACAAAAAGAAAACATCCAGTCAACTATCATAATCAGTAGCAACACATTACAGATATTATTATTCATTAAAAGCCCAAGCAGCCAGATTATCCAGCCGTCCAGCCATATCAACTTCTACTGAGAAATGATAAGATGTGCACGGTCAACAATGAGACGAACTGTGTGCATGTTCACGTCATCTTGCTGCTGTAATGAGACGATGGGAAGCTGGAAGGGTCCACAAACGCGGTATCAGGGCTGATACGGTATCTGAAATGTTTATGTTCACCAACTACTTTCTCCTAATCTCTTTTTCTAAATAATAACTTTTTTCTGCGATTGCATTTTAAACACATAACTATTGCACCGTGCTAAAAGTCTGTGAAGTGCACAGTGCGAGTCTCCATGTGATCAAAAGTACCTGTTGTGTTACACTGAGCCCAACACGAATCCCCCGGTGGGACTTTGTCGCTTTGGGTTCCCAAGATTAAAAAGTTTGAGAACCTTTGGTCCAGACTAATCGGCCAGCCACGACTAATCTAATCCCACGAGTGATCTAACTCCTCTCGGTGTGAAATTCTGATTTCATAATATCCACCTTAAAACGGGTGTCAGTCCCAGATCTCTCTCTGTAAATGGTTGTTTGTGTGGCCCGTCTCGTGCACAGGAGCAGTCTAGACAATCTGAAGGACACTGGTGCGGCCTGGGGGCTCCACCAGCTGACATATGGGCAGCAGGGTGTGGCGCAGCAAGGACAGCCAGGCGTCTGCTTACATTTAATCACGTTCCACTGGACAAGACAAGACGCCGAGCCTGGCCAGAGCACGCCGTGAGCAGCGTGGGAGAATTACAGCCTCGGGAACTTGTAGACGCGGGTTAATCATTATTTTTGCAGGGTAGGGAGGCCCTGTGTGCGGTACACAACTCTCGCAATCGACTGGCCAGCTTCAAGCCCGATTAATTAATCGGCTCAAGAGGAGGAGAGGGGACCCCCGTGACCCCCACCGCCGGCCTTACACCCTGACTTAAGACGAGGTGGGGGTTGACTGGCTCCCCGCCTAAAAAAACTGCTGCTCCATAATCACAGCTTAAAATCAAAACTAGTTAATAAAAAAAAACGTGCAACAGTCAAGAGGAGGAGTCACCTCAGAGATCCGGTCTGAAACATCCAGGGAACCTGCTTTGCCTCCTGAGGACTCATCAAGTCCACAACCTACAACCAAGCCCACACATCACAGCTCCTCATTAGGATGCAGGGTCAAAATATTGCTGGTCACACGAGTAGCAAGCATCAAGCTAGCCACTGTGGACTAAAGGACAAAGCAGGACGTGGCCTGTTGGTGCTCTGACAGGGAGCCTTATGGGCTCTTTGGGAGCCACCATCCCTTCCCGGGAGTGGGCATTTACACCGAGCTAGTTGCTAATACTTTAAGCTTTTACCTATTTGCTCCACGTATAAAAATCAACCTGCCCGCGTTTCAGAGGTTTGTTAGCCACCGAGGTGTCTGCTGTCCGCTACGGGGAGAGAGACACCAATAGCCCCGACATACATACAACAAGTTTTTGCTCTCGTTTAACTGCGAGGCAACAATTAACGTCCAACCCCGCTTCTTCTGTTTAACAATAATGAGCTTGTAAGCAAGCTAGCTACTCAAATTCCGGCAAATCAGCGTTGACTTAGCTTTCGGCTAAATTGTATTTTGTAACGACAAGCCTCGATGAAAACACTTAAAGCATAAATGTTCATCTAAAATTCGGCATACTTAGTAAGCTAAATATGAAAACGCCATAAAACTTTAGGACTGATTCACATTAGCCACTTGTCCAGTGCACAGCTGTGGGTGGTAGCTAGCAGCTAGCTACGTTCAGTGTTACACGTTTCCTTCCAATTAAAAAAAAGGACGATGAATTGTTGATAACTGACTAAATCTGTTTGATTACTCTGTATGACAGCTCCAAAATTAAGTCAGGATTAAAGGCCTCGCGAAAAAAACTGTGTGTATGTGTGTGCGCGTATGTATGTGTGTGTACTTCAACGTTGTGAATCACTCGTTTTTTCAATTGAGTTTGGCATTCATTCGCTGGAGGGGGGGGGGCTCACCACCAACTAACCACGCTGCCCACAACACAGCCCCACTTTCAAACATTTCCAACCCGGGTATGAACCAGCGGATTCCCCGGTGTTGTTTCCCCCCCCCGGGCGGAGGCCCCGGCGGGTCCGCGGCCTTCCCTGGCCGCCCCGGGCCGGTCTCCTACCTCCGTGGGCCGGCTGATCTCGAACAGGTCGAGCCGGTTGGCGTTCCAGTGGTTGATGATGTCGGCCAGTTTCCTCCTCTCCTCCTCCCTGCTCCCCGTCATGGTGGGCAGCCTTTCCGGAGAGCCTTTTTGGCTCTCTCAGCGCGGTGGGAAAAAAAAGTAAAGCCGTCCGGGAACGTTAGTCCACGGGGGGAAAAGAACCCGTCGCCGCCGTTGCCGTAGAAACCAACTGCTTCAGGTCGACCGTTGCTCCGCCAGAACGTCGCGCGCGGTCTGTCTCGCGACCTGCTGTCTGATCTGCTTCTGACTCGCGTTCGCGATCCGCCTCCGCGCGCTCTCGACGCGCGTGCGCACGGGGTTCTGTTAACCGTTTCGGGCCCGGGCCTGCGCGTGCGCGTGCGTGCACAGTGACGTTGCAGGAGTTAACGGCAGGCACGCGGCCGTGGAAAAGGATTACGTCATCGTGTAGTGTGAGGAGCTCCCATCGATTTCCTTTATTATCGATCCGGGTGGACAATAAATGTGCTCAGTTTGACCCCATTTCTGCTCTTTGAACAGTAAAATAAAATTAAAAAATTAAATCGCCATAAGAAAATGTTGCTTTTTGTACAATTTCTGTTTTAGTTTCCATCTATTTCTATTTTTGCAACCTAGAATGAAACAACTTCAAAGACTTGGGTGTCTATGTGTTTTTTCATATTTTTGATAAGTAAAATAAAGTTTATTTGTCTTATAAGATCCCAATGATATGTATTTATTGTATTTATATCATGCACAATCATACTTTTTGCACACCTCTACTGATAACATTTAGTGTTTAATAGAAACTGATAGTAAATACTTATATTTCTAACATAAAGATACAATCTTTCAGTTTGTTAATCATAAAGTTTTTGAGAAAGATACACCTTTAATGCTCAGTTTTTCCTTTTAAAATGCAATTATTGGATTTTGTTGCTTCTTATACCAGTTTATTCACGTCACAAGTGAAGTTTTGCAGATTAAAAGCGTTCAATTGATGCAAATTTACAGGCAAAGGTTCAAGCGTAGGTAAGGCATATTTTTACAGTTTGATTGTTTTCCTTAAGTCATTGTTATCGCAAGCATACAGTCCACAAAACCTAAAATCCCTTATTCGCCATTGTTCATTGTTTTCTTGTGTCAAACACTTGGATATTTGTTTCCAAGAAGCTATTCTGGGTCTCCTTCCACCCTGTCTCCAGAGCTAAACCCCACAAACTGTTAAAGACACTATTGTCTTCACTCCTGTGGAAAAAACAAACACAATCTGAACTCAAAGAGTAAAAATGAGTGCTTAC